CCCCCCCCTATACCTTATAGTTGTATGGGTGCTAGACGCATGTTTAACTTGATCACTTGTTGCCAATGGTAAAACAAACATATTACTTTTATCGTGCCAAGCCACCTTTCCTTCAATAAAAAGAAAACTAATCGAATTCTGTAGAATAACAGTAAATAAACTGGTGTAACCTGCTTCTATAGTGTTGTAGTCGTAGTAGGCAGGGGGAATAAGAGATGCCCTTTAGTGAGTGACTGGTTAATCCGGTTTCCAACGAAGACTACCGCTTTTGACAGGCAGCTGATCACGTAAACAACACTAGGTCACGTTACACACTGTTAAAGTCTTACGAAGAAAAATGCCAAATCCTTTGTAATACGAAGGATTTGGACGCTTCGTAGGGATCAAATCCTTCGTAGGTACGAAGCATTTGGCATTTTGCTTCGTAAGACTTTAACTGTGCATGACAAATGCGAACGACATGACGTCATGACCAATCACAAAATAGGTGGAGAAGGAATTAATAGAAGCGGGTGAAAACATAAACTGAAAATTGTACCTGTACCTGCTTTTTTTAACTTTGTTAGATTTCAGTCAATTTTGGGCCAGCCGTCGACATCTAGATAGTCAAGAGATACACCTAGACTAACTTTAAACGTTTTCTAGATGTGGCATTTTTTTGGCTGGGACTGTGCCGCATACAGACGTGTGTTAGCGGTTTGCTTACATGCTCGGAGCCAGAATACGGTATGGTGAGTGACGGTCCGCAAACCCACGCCTTTATGCATTATACAGGGTATGGTCCATAGACCCCTTCCTATATTTTGCTTCTGCTGTACCGCATGCAGGCGTGCGGACGGGCTTGCCTACCGGCGCTTACCGTGGTGCCTTATGGCCCCGTGCGAGTATGCAACCCATCCGCACGCCTGTATTCGGTGCAGCATTAGCAAAATAAAGGAAGGGGTCTGGGGACCACCCTGTATTACGGATGTAACTGTGAATGCGCAGCAGTGTTGCGGGATTGCATACCCGCCAGGGCTGCAGGGGCCATGGCGCCTTGCGGGCGAATTGGGTAGGCAAACCCGCAACACTGCTGCGCATTCCCAGTTACACCCGGTACAAGAATGTACGTGGGCCGCACTGCAAGTCAAGGAGTGAGCAAACTCGCTCGGGAGAGCGATGTTGTGAATCCTATTTCATGAGCCCTGGAGGAGCGATGTCAATGTACATCGATCGTTTAGAGACATTTTAGAAACATTTCCAGTTACGAATAAGACTCATTTTGAGTCATTTTTGCAAACATCGCTCGATTAGAGTCGGTTTTGCGACACGAGCGATGAAATGCGTGCATCGCTCTATTCCGGCAAGAAAAATTAATCTAACTTTGAGGTGTGCACATTGTTCCTGGGAGAAATTTCGTACTGCGTGTACCCGCACTGTTAATCGTTCATTCATTCAAACTGTATTTTCTGCCTCACCATTCACGAAACAATATTGTATAACAAACACAAAATGTAAAAGAACCTCAAAAAAAAAATATCCCTTACTAACGTTTAGGACAGTCCGCATGACAAAATAGGGGCACTTTACTATTGGTATAAGTAATTACTCTATCATACAGGGTATTCCATTCCACAAACTCCTGCCTTCATTTTGCTTATACTGTACAGTTCTGCACTTGGATTAGCAGAGCAGACCTGTGGGCGGGCTTGCCTAACCCCTACCTAAGCAAAATAACGGGAGGGGTCTATGAACCCCGAGCGAAGGTACGGTCAAAAAGGATCTTACACGTGAGTGCCACTGAAAGCAAAAGTGTGTACCTAGGTGTGCACATATGGTAGTGTTCAACCGTATCGTATAGTGCACGGTATTAGGTGTTGCACTGTAAATTTGAATGCTTAAAAGTGCTCGACAGTAAATTTGAACACGTATACTTAAAGTATACGTTAGAGTGTCCAAGGTTTAATAGCCAACCCTGAAGTAAAACACTTTTAGTATCCAAATATTCAGTCAACTACGTAAAGGCGTGCAACTGCCACCTAGTGTTGAGCACTTGCATATATGTACCTATAAGTACCGCCAGTTGCACACTTCATTTATCAGTGTGCCCCTTGTTGAAGTTTAATTCAAACAAGGTGGGTGATCCGCGCCGTGTTTTTTTCTGCTTATACTGTACCGGATTCATGCGTGCGGACGGGCTTGCCTTCTCTAGAAACACAAGTGTGTACTTGAATGGAGGAGGTCCTCTGTACTTCCATGTATGCAGGAGCCTTATGGCCCCGTGTGAGTATGCAACCCGTCCGCACGCATGAATCCGGTACAGCAAAAGCAGAAAAAACCCGCGGCGCGGATCACCCACCTTGTATGACAGCTAACGGAGTAAATCTCCGATTTCAAAGAATAAATCGGAGAATTTGACGGAATGAAGATGTAGGTCAGTGGCCCACAGTTTTGATCTCAGCAGGTACCCTGCATATGCCACCAAAATTTTTTTTATTTGAAATTTGGATTGTTCCTGATTGAGGCCATTCTGGCTTTATCAGCTTAGGGATCTTAACATCTTAACATCTTAACATGTTAACATATTAACAAGTGCATTTTGCATTATATTCGATAGTAAGACTATGGTTTTACATTTGAATGTCTTTATATTCGCTAAAATGCCGACCAAAACGTTCGGGATCGCTACAACGACCAATAGAATCATGATTCGTGGTTTCCGTGAAAGTTGTGTTAAGATCCCGCGAAACGACGGATCTCTGCTTTTCATCGAACTGAAGCGATGGCAAAGCTTTCTAAATGTTCCGGTCGGCACTTTTTACCAATTTAAACACATTCTTAACTAAAAATCATTGCCTTAGTGCTAAATATAATGAAAATGCATCTGTTAATATGTTAACCCTTTATGGTTTTGTTGCTCCTGAGCAACATGGCCTTCTGGAGGCCCTGCAAAGGACGATTTTTGACCGAGATGCCCAAACTCGGAGTCAACTTAAAGCCTAGGACCTAAACAATGATTTTAAGCCAGAGGGAAGTCAGTGGAACCGATGTCGTTCCCTCCTCAGGTTCACCAATACAT